AGTTCCTGCTGGTAGCTTGTTGCTTTTCCTTGGGGGTTGCCCAGCTGCATGGAGCGACGACGACAGACAGTGGGAATTCTACCTCAGCCGCATCTGCTTCTCCCACTTCCACAACGCCTGAGGAACCTCTTTCAGGAATAACAGCTTCCTCTCCTGTCACATCTCCCTCGACGTCTACGTCTTTGCTGACATCTATGCCTCCTGCCTCGACTGCAGCCACTACTTCAGGAGGGACGTCGACGGACACCGAGGCCGAGGGAGGCGATGGCGGTGTGACGGCCGAGGAGGAGGCCGGAGAGGAGACCGCCGGGGAGGAGGCCGGAGAGGAGACCGACGCCCACCACCACAGCGACGCTTCCACCTCGTCGCACGCAAGCACGACAGAGACTCCGAGAGCCGCCCCCTCCACAGCGTCACCTGCTGCAGAGACGACGGCTCCTGAAACAACGAGAGACGTGACTTCAGCCACACTCCCGCCGGTCGGCCCTGAATTCGATACCGCCAACCAGAGTCAGCCGACTGCCCCCCCGAGTCGCACAGACACCGACATTGACAATGAAGGCACTGTCGTGGCATCCGAAAGCACCCAGAGCCATCCAGAGAGCAGTGCCACTACGGAACAAAGCACCGAAGACGCCGCCACCCATTCCCCGGAGACCTCCGCTGAGCGCAACACGACACTGCCGATCGCGACCCCATGGGACACAACGCACGCGGAGACACACCCTGGAGAGGCGCACACCACTCCCTCCACCACTGCGGACGAACAGACGCCCGCCGCGGACCGTACGTCTCCCGAGGAGCCGAGTGAAGCCCCTACTGAGGCTGAGGAACACCAGGACCCGACGCTCGCTCCTTCTGAAGCCCCGAGCGAACGCACAACGCCAGAAGAAACCACGGAAGAAGCGCCAAGCGAACCGGGCAGCCACCACGACGTCTCTCCCTCCGCAGGGCCTTCGGGAGCCACCACGAGCGAAACGACTGCCCACGACGAACCCACGATAGCCACGTTACCCACGACCTCCGGCGAGCCCACGGACGACTCGGTGGTGCAGCCTGCGAGCACGTGTTTCGGCAACGAGGAAGTAAGTAATTGTCAAAATTGTAGTTTTTCTACAGTCAAATCGTGCATTTTTCCGTTGCTGTTTCGTAAATTTAGTCAAGGAGGATCATGCATATAAGAAATAAATAAGAAGAAAATAACATGAAAAGTGAATAATCGAGGGGAAAAAATGTTATAGCAAAAATAGAAAGAGAATTGAATTTTCCCGCCATCCAATTATTCCAGTATATAATACATTTCCTTTTTTTGCCATTTTCCATTATGCGACTCCCCTTAATTGATTTTTCCCAATTTTCTTTCCTTTTTACTATTACATATCACTAATATAACCCATCCTCTCTCCTACTGTTGTCGTTATTACCATTATCTGTTTCATCTATTTTTTCCTCTTTCTTTGTTATATTTCCTTCTTTATTTTTGTCTTTCTTCTAACCCTTCCTGTTTTTGTTTTTTTCTATCTATCTTCCTTTCTTCCCTCTCTTGTTTCCTTATTTTCCTTTGAAAGATCACTGTGATAAAGTATCGAGAAAAAGTTGTAAGGATAAGAAGGAATTTGTTTCCAGTAGGTTACAGGCGTTTCTGAACCCGTAACCATGGAAACTCCATCTTATTTTTTTCTCTCTCTCTCTCATTCTCTCTCTTTCTCTCTATCTATCTATCTATCTATCTATCTATATATCTCTTTCTCTCTTCTGTTCATTATTGTCTTCCTTTCTCTCTCTCTCTTCGTTTTCTGTATCTTCTTCGTCCTTCCATACCTACCCATCTTCGTACAACTATTCTCCATCAGCCCTTCTTCTCTTTTGTAATTCCTTCTCTTCAATTCTCTTCAACTTTAATCCTCCTTTATCCCCGCACCCATCTACTCTACCAAACCTTCTGAAAAAGAAATAATCCATTTTCCTTCCCCTCCCCCCCCTCTCCCCATTCCCCCATCTCCCTTTTCCGTAAATTGTACCCCAACATCTCTTTACCGCCACCCTCCCTCATCACCTCCCCTCATCTCTCTTTTATCACCCCCCACACCCCCCTCATCACCCTCCCTCACTCCCCCTCTTATCAACTCCCCTCATCTCCCCTCATCACTATCCCTCACCTCCCCTCATCTCCCTTCTTATCTCTCTACCTCACCCCACTTTTATCACCCTCCCTCACCTCCTCATCCATACACCCCCCTCCGAACCTCCCCATCCATCGGCCCCCCTCCCCATCCGACTCCCCCTCCCCATCCGCCCCCTCCGAACTTCCCCATCCGCCCCCTCTCATCTCCCCCTTCTCCCCCCTCAGGTGAGCACGTGGCTGGTGGTGGCCGTGGGCGTGGGCGTGAACGTGCTGTGCGTGGTGGTGACGGCCCTGTGTGTGCATCGCATCGTGTCCCGGAAGCTGTCATGGGATCCGCCGCCCATCTACTACAACCGATCGGTGTGTTGAAGCGTGGGTGTTGGAGGCTTTGTGGGTATGGGTGGGAAGGGTGGGTGGGGTGTGGGTAGGGTGGGAAGGGGGTGTGGTGGGTATGGGTGGGATGGGTATGGGTGATGGGTGGGAAGGGGTGTGACGTTGGGTATGGGTGGGAAGGGTGTGAGGGTGTGGGGGTATGGGGTAGGATGGGTGGGAAAGGTGTGGGGGTGTGGGGTGGGTAAGGGTGGGATGGGTGGGTAGGGTGTGGGGTGGGTATGGGTATGGGTGGGTAGGGGTGTGAGGGTGGGTGGGTATGGGTGGGGTGGGTAGGGTAGGATGGGTTTGAAGGGTGTGGGGTATGGGTGGGAAAGGTGTGAGGGTATGGGGTATGGGTGGGTAGGGTGGGAGGGTGTGAGTGTGGGATGGGTATGGGGTATGGGTGAGAAGGGTGTGTAGGGTGTGAGGGTATGGGTGGGAACGGTGTGGGTTGGGTATGGGTGGGAAGGGTGAGGGGTGGGTATGTGGAAAGGGTGTGTGGTGGGACGGGCTGGATATGGGGTATGTGGAAAGGGTGTGGGTGGGGTGGATGTGAAGGGTGTGAGAGTGGCTTTGTGGATATGGGGTATGGGGAAGGGTTGTGGGTGGTTGGAAGGGTATGAGGGCGTTAAGTAGCTTTGTGGATATGGAGAGGTGTGGATATGGGTGTGGGGAAGGTGTGAGGGTGTGGTATGGGGTATGGGGAAGATGCATGGATGTAACAAGGGATGTGGATATGTGGTATGGGATATTGGAGGGTGTGTGGGTACTGGAAATACATGTGATCAGAGATTGGGGTACTGAAGAGCGTGTGGATATAGGATATAAGTTGTCTGAGTCGGAATGTGGAAGAGGAAAAGAGGATACAGAGAAGGAATATATTATTGGAATTGGATATATTTATGAGTTTGGGAACGTAAGAAAGTAGACGGAAATAGGGGCGTCTGCACGCGAGTAGAGGGGTGGGTGGGAGGTTCCGCGGATGGGCGTGGATGGGCGTGCGGGGGTGACGGGTGTGTCTTACGCAAAGGGATTTGAAGGCGTAGAAGACTGTGAGAAATTTTACATTTAGAAGGAGGGTGGGGGGGTTGTTAGGGGGGTGGGGGGTTGTTAGGGGGGGGTAGGGAGGGGTGGTATCAGGAGGTCGTACCCCCACGATTATTGGGATACCCACCCACCTTGTCCTTGGGTATTGACAGTGCCCCTGGTGTATTCTGAAGTGACCTCCGCTGAATTTATTTATCCTGTTGAGGTCTGCGAATAGTCTTAAGTGGATATATTGTGTTTTAAGTGATTACAGGATGTGGAATAGAGGTTAAGGAAGGTTCAGGATAAGGGTTTAAATGAGATTATCATCATCTTTCATCATCCATCATCATCATCTTTTTTAGTAGTCCTATCATGCATTATAGTAAACATATCTTTATACTGAAAATCATATAGAAGCAAATATCATATATATATATATATATATATATATATATATATATATATATATATATATATATATATATATATATATATATGTGTGGTATATATATATATATATATATATATATATATATATATATATATATATATATATATAATATATATATATATATGTATATATATAAATGTTTCGTAGTGTTTGGAGTAGAGAGAGAGAGAGAGAGAGAGAGAGAGAGAGAGAGAGAGAGAGAGAGAGAGAGAGAGAGAGAGAGAGAGAGAGATAGAGAGAGAGAGAGAGACAGAGAGAGAGAGAGACAGAGAGAGACAGAGACAGAGACGACAGACAGACAGACAGACAGACCAGATCAGAGATTCCTAATCTTTCACACCAACAGAAAGTCGCGAATCCAACATTCCAAGAAATCAAAGAAAAAAATCATATTCTCGGTGAGGGAAGGGTACTGGGAGGGAGGGTGTGGAGGGGGGTGGGGGAAGGGGATGCTGAGATAAAGGGGGGGGGTTGCTGATGGGTAGTGAATATTAGTAATATGTTTGTGATATTAAATAAGCTTATGATTATATTCCCGTTTCATAAAAAATAGTAATAATATAATTCTATTGGAATTCATGTACTGTGTAAAATAATTGAAATAAAATAATCAAAATATTCCTTTGCTAAATAGTTTGATTTCTCAGAGACCTAATAGCTTGCGTCACAAAGAAAAATACCAAATTTATGAATTACATTCACAGAAAACTTAGAAAAAAGACATCTTAGTATTTAGAGAAATCAGAAATGAAAGTCAGTAAATAAGCATATAATAAGCAATACGCACACACACACACACACACACACACACACACACACACACACACACACACACACACACACACACACACACACACACACACACACACACACACATATATATATATTATATATATAATATATATATATATATATATATATATAATATATATAGTGTGTGTGTGTGTGTGTTCGTATATAGATACGGATCCGAGCTTAAAAACAAATGCTAAATTCGAATATGAATAATTCCCTTAGCCTTAA